ATATTGGGTTTTAATACAGTAAGTGTAAAGTTTAGGGACTAAATTACAAAATATTGGAAGACACAATTTGTTTAGATGAGAAGGTCACGAATTAAAGTTTATGACGTGATTAGATTGATCATTAGATGCCAATGACTCAATTTGAGCCTCTTTTGATAATTTTGATGTGTTGAGGACTAAAATAAAATAAATTTTAGACATCGATTATTTATTTAGCCTAGATATTTAATTTCGGATATGCGAATATCCAAGAATAAATTTTATGTAAATAAAATTTCCTTTTATATGCCTCCTATTAATGTTTTTGTACAATGACTCCTGACCGCAACATAAGGTACGCTATTCTTTATGCTTGTGTTGTTAATTACTCACTTTGATACTATCATAATTGTTCATTTTTTAATGAATTATTTAAGCTTCATGGATGAACTGTCCTTTTTTCAATTGAATGGTCTTATTAAGACGACAAAATATGCTTAGTCGTATCTAGTCGGTAATTATATTCATTCTGAGTCATGTTCATGTTGATTTTGGTGGTGGTGCCGTTGTGTGATCAACGTATGATGGTTATCTGATATTTCTCATCTTATTGGGGGCACGAATACATTTCACCTCCTAGTAGGCAAGTGCCAAGGATGTTTTGTAATATCCTTTTTCTTATACAAGTAGCTAGTTTTGGATGCCTACGTGGCGTAGTTTGATGATCTTCTTACTATTTTTGTATAACGGTTTTGCTACTGGTAAATCAAGATGTACATCGGCGTGTACATCACACTCACATGGAGGTGGGACCCGTTTGAATAAAAAAATATTTTATACAAGTGGGTCACATCCCCATGTGAGTGTGATGTACACTAATTCTTGATGTACAAGTAGCATTTTTGTATAATAAAATCCTATTAATTGTCTTTCTTTGTTAGGCATCCCTCTCTTCCACCGCCACCCCATCTTCGTCGCCTGCCTCTACCCCACCACATCTCCGTTGCCTACGAGCACCAGCTATCGTGCCTCTTATCTTGGCTTGAAACTTTACTCTACTCCAAGTTTTTTTTACTCTACAATATCACTTTCGGTCTCACGTAAGTTCATACTTTGCTTTTTTTCTTTTTCTTTTTTTTGTTTCTAAAATCGTTGATTCTTTTAGATTTGGACATAATACAATTTTAGGTAATTTCTCTTCTTTGATTCTCTTTTGATTTTGAATTTTCTTAGATATGAATGTTTTTAAATGTTTCTTTCGATTTCTTTAGTTGTATTGTTGAATCAGCTTTTTTTTCCGTTCTTTTGTGAGATCGAACCTAAAATACCTAAAATATGTTCCTTCCATATTTTTGTTGTGTGTTTTTTGTGTGATTTCTTCGGGTTTGTTCAGTTGTATTGTTGAATATGCAATTTTGTTTCCTTTCCTTTTTCAATCATTTCTATTCCAGTTAATATTTATTA